GTTTTTCCATAGTATGCAAGTGGATTTTAACCTCAAGAGACCTATTAATCTAAAACTTGTATTTTTCCATATTGTATTTTTTGTTCTAGATTCATGATTAATGTTAGAAGCATTTGTTGAAAGATGTACATAGAAGTAAAAAGATGGTGCTTAAATTAACTACAGTCCTGTACCAACATATCTAAATTCATTAGAACCTGTTTTTGAGTAGATGTGTTTAGGATTACATAGTAGAGTGTTGTACATATTTGCTGTTTCTCTCCCCTCCAGAATTTTTCTGTATAGCATATTCTGCTTTTCTAAATGTTTACACATGGTATATTGTTTGTTTGTTTTTAAAAAAATGTATCCCATTTTGAGCAGAGGGATAGAACTAGCATTGACAGGTGTAAGTTTGCGTTAATCTAAATGTCCTTTTTAGGGTGGACTGAGTGGGCTAAGGATCATTCCGGTCCCAAGGACCTCTGGAGTTACTTCTCCTGCTTGGCCTTCCCAAGTTCTGGGTTTTTGAACTCAGAAAATGCTGAGCCTGGAGACCATTGCAAAAAGCAGGAGATGGATTTTTTTTTCTCTGCACACAGTTTTAGAGGGGAAAATTAAAATAATAAATCAGAAAGAATCAAGACAGAACATTTGTCAAATATAATTTCCCATATAAAAGAAGTTATTCAGCTGTGCCTTGTTTCATATTGCACATCAGAAATGAAAACATAGCCTTGTGTTAATTTTTGTAATTGTAATCTGTTACTCATCATAATCAACACAATATAATCACAGTCAATGCTCTCTATGTTCAAATGTCTTAATATAGTAAATATTCCACCTTTCCTCTGTTTTGCCTATCTAATCTGAGAATTAGATGCCTCTTCAAAACAGCAAGCAATTCTCAACTATATTGAAAACAGCATATTTAGACTTATCAAATATAAAAGGCAAACTATTAGGGTAGTACCTGGTCCCCAAAACTAAACTAGGTTATTTTATAGACTAATATAACCAATATATGGCCAGTAACAAGTTTGGGCGAAAAAGTTACTGTGTTCCACCCAATCCATAAATCAATCAAATCAAATCTTTATTAAAGTCAAACTTAATCCCTGGATTTTTTTTTAAAATCTTAAATATGCATTCTTACTTAATATTAATTAATTGCATATAGCTGAAGGGTTGATCTTTTTTGTAGGAAGAATGGTTCTTTCTCTTGGCAAAGTGCTTAAAGATCCATTGCAGTTTCCTTGCTGAATTATGTGGGGAGTGGCATAGTGGTGGGCTTCCGGAAGTCGATTCTGGGCCTAGGCAACAAAAAGTTAGCTACCGATTCAGTCGAAGTGATGCGAACCGGCTGAATCCCACCACTGGAGTGGCATACCGTAGTTGTTTTTATCTAGTCTCCCTTTCCATTGTAGCTCCTACCTCTCCCATATTACAGGTAGTCCTCGACTTACTACCACAATTGAGGCCAAAATTTTTGTTGCTAAGTGAGACAATTGTTAAGTGAATTTTGCATTATTTTATAACCTTTCTTGTCACAGTTGTTAAGTGAATCACTGCACTTGTTTAGTTAGTAACATGGTTGTTAAGTGAATCTGGCTTCCCTCATTGACTTCTGCTTGTTAGAAAGTCACAAAAAGTGATCACATGACCTCAGGACACTGTAACCATCATAAACATGAGTCAGTTGCCAAGCATCTGAATTTTGATCACATGACCACGGGGATACTGCAGGGATTGTAAGTATGAAAAACGGTCATGCCACTTTTTTCAGTGCCATTGCAACTTTGAATTGTCACTAAATGAACTGTTATAAGTCGAGGACTACCTGCAGCCCCAGAGCCACATGCGGCTCTTTGAGCCTTCCCATGCGGCTCCCAGCCTCCTCTGCCATTTGCAGAGAGAGACAGAGACAGAGCTTCTCTCTCTCTCTCTCTCTCTCTCTCTCTCTCTCTCTCTCTCTCTCTCTCTCTCTCTCTCTCTCTCTCTCTCTCTCTCTCTCTCTCTCTCTGTGTGTGTGTGTGTGTAAAAAGAATAGCCTCATCCTGTTCCGACGAGCCAACAACCTTATTGGGTGGGGCTCCTCCCTTTGCTGAGTCTCTGCAGGAAGCAGGAAGGGCAGGAGAGCGCTAGCTAGTCCAGCTATGCTGACTCAGGAATTCTGGGACTTGAAGTCCATGAGTCATAAAAGAGCCGAGGTTGCCTACCCCTGAGCTAGCCCAATAAGAATGTGTGTCAGCTTGTTGGAGAACAGCTTGAAGCCAGCTTGCCAGGTGAGCAGAAGATCGGAGAGAGGGGGGGGAGAGAGAGGGAGGGAAGAAAGAGGGAGAGAGAGAGAGAGAGAGAGAGAAAGAAAGAAAGAAAGAAAGAAAGAAAGAAAGAAAGAAAGAAAGAAAGAAAGAAAGGGGGGAGAGGAAAGAGAGAGGATGAGGAAAGAGAGAGCAAAGAGAAAAAGAGAGAAAGGGGGAGAGGAAAGAGAGAGAGGGAGAGAAAAGAGAGAAAGAGAAAGGGAGAGAGAAAAAGAAAGAGAAGGAGAGAGAGGGAGGGACAGAGACAGAGAGACTCTTTTGACATCTAAAATGAAGATAATACTGCATATACCTTTTTTACCTTTATGATATATCGTTTTTTTCTATATTGTATTGATATATATCATATATAAACGGGTCCAGGTGGCTCTTTGAGACAAAACCTAACGGATAGGGACGAGATCTCCCAGGGAGTTCTTATGTTTCCCGCACATTTAGATCAGTCGTTTTTTGATAAGTGAAGGAGTGTGTTGCTTGTGTCAATATCTGACATTTAAGGTTCGACATTAGGGAACTACGTCATAGTCTCCCCGAGATCAATATTTCAGTAACATATCAGTGGACAAAAACATGTAATTGATAAAATTACATTTTGGACCTTGACAGTTTTCATATTTAAGGCCATTTTGTAATAAAAATGATTTCTATACAAAGATTTGAATTTTTTTAAAAAAATTTAAAACACAATTTCTATTATTTGTACCCTCCCCCAGTCACTTATTTCAAATTAAACTTGGACTGTTGGAAAGTTTTTGAACTATTTGTATTACATTTACTACTTCAATAGAACTATAAGCCCATTAAACGTGTCTTATGAAAAATTAAACTTGGGGGGGCTGGATTTAAATCTATGAAAAATTAATATTATTGATGAATAGCAATACTTATTCTTTCTCCCAACTTGTAATATTTTATTTAATTCAGTTTGAATGCTGCCCAATTCTTACCTTAAGAGTCCTGAAGATTTTTTTCTGAAATGTGAATACAGGAAATCCCAAATACTCTTAGTACCACTACTACATATAAGAGGTGATAGTCATTTAATTTAGTATACATGTGGTCCAGATGTCGTTTCCCATTAGATGTACTGAATTTCCTTTTCAGATTTTGACCAGCTCTATTCAGCCTTCAACTTTGCCCAATTTGTGCTATATTTTGTGAAGACGCAAATGCATGGTTTTTTGTAATGATATTGCAGTGCATAGCAGGACAACAAGGAACTTAGCATAAATAAATCTTAGCCATTTCCTTCAGGAGGAGGAGATGTCACCATTTCAGCTATGAAATGTCAATAGCATATTCAGTGGATGAGTAATGAAAGAGTATATACTCATAAAAACGGAGACTGAAGGGTAGCTGTACATATGGTAATCAATGAGAGCGTGATTATAAATATTCTGTAGTGAATGGAATATGCTGCAATAAATAAACAATGGCATCCAGATAGACATCTCAAGTCTGTTTTTAACAATATGACATGATTTTCAAATTAATTTTTCATTTAGTTGTAGCTTACATTAGTGATTTATAGTAAGATTGGGATTCAGGAAACTATTTCATAGGCAGTTCTGGTTCTGTCATCCCACAAACTAAGGTATAAGCACGCTTGAACTAAATCTGAGATTACTCTGTTATAAATATACCAGAATTAGTTATTGTTATTCTTTTGCTAATACAAAGTATTAAACTAGCACATATGACTAGGCTTATAGCATGACTGCTTTCTTTCTTTTAAAGGTTTACATGATTAATCTGCCTTAATAAATTGTAGCATAAAAAGAAATAAAAATAAATTTATTAAGCCCAACAAAATATTCAATTGCTTACACTATCCACACTATACTTATTTCTTTCTTATACATACATGGTTTCACCTTTTGATCTTCTTAACTTTAAGCATTTTTTGTTTTTTATTAAAACAGATTTGGTTATAATATTGGTTTAATATTAGTTTCCTAACTAGAACCAGAAACTGATTATATTAAACTGAGAGTAAATAGAAGTCTTATATTTTGGTGTCATGGGAAGCTAATTAAAAGCTTTCATAAGAAAACTCAATAGACAGACCCAGTATTGATTGAGAAGAAGAAACTTTTATTTTGGTCAGTGACTAGCAAAATAAAATCTATTACAACACAATGGGATCCATGCAACTATGACTGCAGTAAAAAAAAAATAGAACATAAACTTACAAACATTAAACCTAAACCTAATCTAAATAACTAAACCTAAAAGGAATCTTTTATGTTAATAAATTTAAATTAATGTTTATGTTAATGCAACAAAAATGCTGACAGTAGACTACGAATGATTAGTTACAGTTAAATAAGCTAAAATATAGAGTAATAAAACCATGAATATAAAATATTACTCTGCTCTCAAAAATAATTGTGCAATTATTCCCTTTCATTGTTTGCAGGTAATATAATAGTATTTAGCAATTTTTATAGAGACTGTAGGAATTCGACGAGATAATAAATACCTGAGATAAAATCAATCTGGATGGCCTGAATAATTTGATACTAACCATATCAAATAGCATGTACAAATATCCTGATAAAATGAAGAATATGGAAGAAACTGGGCAGTGGTTTCAACATGACCCTTCCACATGCAAAGCCATTTATGAAAAGGAATTTTCTTATGCCTCTTTCCCAAGACAACTGCAGGCAAAACATTAAATTGTGCTAATATCATAGTTTATTTTTGGATATTTCAATCTGTCTCAATTACCTGGCTAAACTATGGTTAAAAGGCTAAGCATCCAGGTAGACCACTACTGGTCCATAAGATTGAGCTTCCTAGTTTTCTGTATCTATTATTATCTGTCCTATTTTGGCTTTGGCTTTGGCTTGACCAAAGCTAAGGCTAGTAAGGCTTCCAGAGAGTAGTCACAGTGATTCAACTCATGTAAGATAGAGTTTTTCCATTTGCTGATAAATTTATCAGAAACCAGAGGGATTAGACCACTACTATTTAATCAGTAGCTCAGGGTATCATCATTGTATCAATCCTGAGTATAACATTTTCTAGCTGGAGAATACATTGGGGTATCCATTGTGGTACCTGGAAAATATTTCTCAAAAACATGCTGAAGGAATTCCATCAGTGGTACGTTTTTATAGGTCATATATGTGCACCATTCAGAAGACTCAGAAGTACTTTGGTTCTATCTCTTCTTGCCCCAAAAATCTGTATACGAAGATGAAATAAGTTTAAGGCCTGCATGATTATTTATAAGCTTCTAAGAAAACTAGGATGTGGGAGAACCAGCTTCAGATCTTCCATTCAGGCATGACATTTGCTGAATGGCATTCAATAAATCCTCCTGTAATTTCTAATGAGATCATTATGAGGACAAAATAAAATATTCATTTATTGTAATAAGCCTCCAATTCTGTACCTTTAAGTAGAATGAAAAGTGAACATTTCTTATTAAACATTTTTTTTAAAATTTTAGGTTATGGTTTTGTGGACTTTGATAGTCCAGCTGCAGCTCAGAAAGCCGTATCTGCCCTGAAAGCCACTGGAGTTCAAGCACAGATGGCAAAGGTAAGATAATGTACTAGTGAAAGATCAGTGTGTAGCATTGGTACAACCTAAATGGTACCTAAAGAAAAGAGAAGACTGTATTTAAAGTAATCATTGAACTATTCCATTGTCCATCTGTCTTCAACCAGGCGGTGCCGTTATAAAACCTGGAAACAAGCTGTTAAGACTTGGTGTGTTTCAACGTAATTTTATTTAGGCTCCTGTGTTAATTTGTTTAACTTGATCTAAAGCAGTGTTCCAAACCATAGCAATTTTCAGCTATGTCCGGTTCAGTACCCAGAATTCTTTATAATTTCTAGAAATTGCCTGGATGGAGACATGATGATCTACAGCCATATAAACCTTCCCTTACAACAACATATTTCTTAAAATAAAAAACATAATTAGGGATAATAGTTCAAATTGTGTTTGAGTTGAACTGCTGTACAAATGTTTAACCCTATTTTGTTATTTTTAAAAATAAGGCAGTGAATATACATAAAAATCCTTTCCTCCTTCTATTTTTTTCACAATAACAATCCTTTGAGGTGGGTTAGGCTGAGATAGAATAACTGGCCTCAAAGTCACCCAGATGGCTTTCATGCCTAAATCAGGGCTAGAACTCAAAGTCTCCTAGACTATAGCCTGGTGCCCAAACCATAGACCACTAGCTGAATAAATTAAATTGTAATTTTAAATTTAAAATGGAGACTTTCTGCATGCTTATTGAAGGACCTCTAAAGTGAACCAACCATTTAGACTGGTAATAACAGACCTCAGTGAACTCAGCAATGCTAACTTCCAAAGACAAATGTATAGTATTGTGCAGTAAATTGAGTGTCTCATGTATACCTCTACTTACAGAGCAAAGCATTATCCTTGGAAATGTTCTACTTGAGATTATTTGATTTTGTAACCTTGGACCTATAGTTCTTGATACTGTGACTGCTATAAAGAAACTAAATGTTCTCTCAGAAACCTATTTACCGTAATTGGCAGGTAGTCTGTCTGGGAAAAAAAAAAACCTTATTCTTTTCTCTGTTTTGTCTTCAAGAAAAAGTTGAAAAGAATGGCCTTATTTGTTCAGAAGTAGCATCATGTCTTCTTATATTGGGAATAAATAAACATAATTTAAAGTTTCACTGCTACTATTTCAAAATGATGTCCATAGGTGATTTCTCACTGGTCCTTTACCAAGTCTTCTAGCGTTACATAGCTATCATAAGGCCCAGCTTTCTTCAAAGGGAGCTTTTTTATAGTTCAAATTACAGGCACGAGGAGAAGCTTGTTCTGCATCAGGGCTACAGTGGTAGGAGAAAATATTACAGTACATTGCAAATCCCAACGAGCCTTCCCATCACTAGTTTTGGGAAGGGGAGAAAAATTGATGCATGCAGTATAATAAAGATAATATGTAGATAGTCCAATACAAGATATTGGAAGCAAGCATTTGCCAAAGACCCTGAAGGCTATTTTTTTACTTGTAGTCACTCTTATCTGTTCCATAAATGGTGAAGGGGCATATGGAGAAAGAGATACGTTGCGAGCCTTGAATAATACACTGATTGCCCATACTATTTCATTAGAGCTGATGTACATTGAATCCCTTGTTGATAATGGCAGGCAAGTCTTGATCCATACACTTAGTAGCTATTCTTTTAAGATGTCTCCTTTCAGGTCGAAAAATCTTTGCTATTTTGAACTTTTAAGTTATTTATTGTGATTGTGTTTTAGAAAGATTAAATAGGGGCCAGACATAGCCTTTTTATAATATTAGTCCTGTTCCCAAGTGTAACGTATTGCCGCATTTTCAGTGATGCTGTACTTTCCCTAGGATTCTCAGCTGAGGAAAAGCAGAGCTAATAGAAATATCCTTGGATGAATTCCAGGAAAACAAAATGTAAACCATATGTGTATTAATGCATATTTTATCACATGCACGAAAACATTTGCTCTTTCTGAAGTCAAATGCAATGTGCCTTGTTCTTTGGGTCTCTTTGTTAATGGTTGTGTCATATTGTTTAATGTCTATATATGTGACACCAAACAAAAAATAAAACTATTTATACATGTCTCCAGAGGTCTTCTCACGCGCTATAATGACTGTTATAAAATTTATATCTTGCCATATTCAAACCACTCTAGCTGATTCACAGTTATAAAAGCATATAAAAAAGAATTAAGTGCTATAAAACTATACAATTTCACGAAATCTGGTTAAAATTAAATTTCAGAACCTAAATTTCACCTTATTATCCATCGTCAATGAGAATGTCAAAGAAAATAAGCAATTTAAACCCCAAATAACTGGAAGAAGAAAACCACCTTTACAGCCCTCCTAAAAGATAACAGTGATGCCCATAATCCATAAGATGTCAAGGTCTTCATCGAAATCGATGGACGAACAACAACAACATCACATAGACAGGATGGCCACTGAGAAGGCACCCGACCCGTCTCTAGAGGAGGCAGATCTGAAACATCCCTTCCTACACAGAACACACAGTTCAAACCCAATAATATATAGAAGTACACCCATGTAGGACTTTATACAACCAGCACTTTGAAGCCTAATGATAACTAACGCAGTGCCCACAAAACTGGTAGCACCAAACTGAAGCCTGCCTTTACCTGATCCAGGTAAACAGATTCTACACCAATTGTCTTGCGTCATGAGGACAAAGGCATAACTAAGTACTGCCAAGGCCTTAGCTGAAGTTGGGTAATGACTCCCTGACCAGAGATTCTACCTGCTGGTTAATCATTAGTTGTCCAGAAGGACCTCCAGGCTGCTTCTTTGGAAGGTGTGTGATCCCATCCAAGACCAATCTTACCTCCATCTTTTCTTTTAGTTTATTTTGTACAATCCATAGCCTCCATACAATGTGAGGCTCTCCACTGCATATCCACATCAGCTCATGTGTGGGATGTACAATTGGTTATCATCATTATATTAAAGAGACCCCATTCCAAACTAACAGGTGACCTCTCCCATCAATTTCATACAACTGTTAAATTGCAGGGAGACAGTTCTGAGACTTGTTGCACCCTACAAAGCAGTAGCCTGAGATTCAACGACTCAACTTCCAACATTACTGTATGAAACTACCTATTCAGGAAGGAGTGGAACCACTGTAAAGGAGTGACCTTTCTCCCAAACCCCCAAACTTGTTAAAATGTAATGATTGACAATATCAAATTGTTCTGAGAGTTTTACATGACTGAGAGGACTATATTCCTTTTGTCTAGGACACAACAAAGGTTATCCAGTAAAATGGTCATAATTTGCATTCACTGAAAGGGATTGTGATAATCCATTGTATAGAGGAGATTGTACAACTGATGCACTATTTAATGGAATCTATTTTCTTATTCATAACATTTAAAAGTTTTAATTTTATTATATAGCATTATACAGGTAATCCTTGATGACGGCCACAATTGAACCCAAAACGTTGCTAAACGAGAAATTTAAGAGCATTTTGCCCCATTTTACGACTTTTCTTGTCACATTTGTTAATTGAATCACTGCGGTTGTTAAATTTAGTAACACGGACCCTGCAACCATCATAAATGTGAGTCAGCTATCAAGCATCCAAATATAAATCATGTGACCATGGGGATGCTGCAATGGTCTTATGTGTGAAAAATGGTCATAAGTCACTTTTTTCAGTGCCGTTGTAACTTTGAATGGTCACTAAATAAACTGTTGTAAGTCTATGTGTATATGTATATCTTTTTAAAATAAGCATTGGTTATGTGGCATAAAATGGAAAGAGCAGTAGAGAATGCTTTTTAAAATGCATATCATAATAGTGACCTAATTTGATAAGTAACTCTGTTGTAATCAGTGAGGATGTCTGATTTAAATATTTGCTTGGGTAGCGTCCCTCCCAGGAAGCATAAAAGAACAAAAATGCATTAATTTTGCATGTAAAGAGACTGAACTTACTTGATACTGTTACCATATTAGTTCCAACATGCATAGGTGAGTTTGCACATCAAGCTAAATCACAATGTAGTTTACAGTTTTGCAGTTGATTTATCAAGTGACATGAACCTAGCTATTGTAGTTTGCAATCATGTTTTATAGCTGATATAAATAAAGTACACTTTATTCAAGAAATCATGATTAATCAGACCATAGATTAGCCTGATAAGTGAATCTATTCATATTTTAGATGTGGCCATTTCTTTAAACTGATATATCTGTGCCTGGTTTGTACCACTTTAGACTGCAGATTTAGGTTTCATTTGTTTCCTTCTTTTAAAAATGTGTTTACGTAAAAAAAAACACCTGTGCCACAGAAAAGTCTAATTTAGGACTTGTCCCTGATTTCTAGGTTACGACGACGACAATGATGATGATGATAGAATTTCTAGTTGTGAAATTTCTAGATTATAGAAATTTTAAAATATATGGATTAGAAGGTATCTTAGAGATCACTGAGGTAATATAGGGCCCTAATCAAAGTGTATACACCTCAGGTCTGTACTTTTGTCGATTTAAAAAAAGTAATAATATTCAGCCTTTAACTTTTGCATTAGTTATGCACAACTGAATATTTTCTTATTACCAAATCAGACTAATTTTAAAAATACTTTGTATTATTTAGTAGGCTACATGTTGCTTTTGTCTAAAGTAATTTTATCCAGAGTAGCTTCGCACAATACAGAGCAACAAGTCCAAATTTGCCATGGATTTTGTTAATTAATGATATATTCCCTGAAAAATCCCTAGCCAATGCTGAGTTTTATGTATGTAGATGATAAATATGTTCTTAAATACTTCTTTGATACCATAGCAAGCAGGTTAAAGGATAATTGGTGAGGTGCTTAGAAATTTGCCACAAGAGGAAATTATTTGAGATGAAGTTTTTGGTTTGAGCATTCTTAGTCTCATGTAAATTTGAAGAAACTTTTTATTTTAGAATGGAAATCAACTTACAAATTCTGGATGGTGAAAAATATTGGTATGCAAAGCATTTCAAATTTGAACTGTTTCAAGCAGAGGCACCCAGTTTCATCAGAATGACAAAATGAACATCACAACTTAAGTTCTGCTCTTGAGGTATATGTGTCCAACATCATGATGCATCCATGAAAGAGGGAAGCTTATGCAAGGATATCTGTTTTATCATTCATATAAGCAGCTCTTGTCCCCACACGTGCATGTCTTTGGTTTCAAGGTTTAAACACCCCTTGAACAGCGCAGAACTACTATTTTGAGTATGAAATGGGAGCTTAGGTCTTTGTAGAAGTGTTCCAAGCTTCATATAACTCTGTTTCTATCTTGAAACATTCTGGAAAGGGTCAAAACCGAAGCATATTGCACTCTTATACTTGAAACAATCATTTTTACGTCAAAATGGGGCATTTTTACTTTGGAATATGTGTATGCGCTCAGTAAAAAGGATTGAATTGGAAATAGGCAATTAGACAACATTATAAAATTGTCAGGTTTCCAGGAATGAAAGTCAGTGCTTGTTCTAGAACAAATTGAGCACAATTATTTTTATTTTTATTTTTAAATCACATTTGTTTTAATAGAATTACTGCTGTATGTTTCTGACCAGGATTTTTTAGATTTGCTGAGTAATTCTTTTCATGGAAAATTCTAATGTATCTTCTATAAATCATTATTTCTGATATAGATTACAGGTATAAAACATTGCCTTGTCTAAAACACTTGTTGCCTAGACTTACAATTTGTTATCTTGTCCATTGCTATGTTAACGTTTTCCATTTGTGTTGAATCCACACAAAGTATTCTGTTTCCTCATTGGAGACCATGAGAAGATCACATGTAGAACAAAACTGAAATAGCGCCCTCCTTCCATAGGAGCTGATATTCAGAGGCATGGTCCTCTGGTTAGTTATATTATTTATAGTCCGTTCCATGAACTTATAGCTTACCAAAATATATCTCTTCAGGGCACAGTATTGATATGTCTGCCTAGATCTGATCCATCTGCATGTCATGATGAAGTAAATACTGAGTATCTATCAAAGGCAGTGTAGGCAGTAACTATAGACAGTTCCCTTGATTCTTGTTAGGTTTCAGGCTCCATCTGTGATTTTTGTTACGAATCAGTGGAGAACTGACTTCCCACAGGTCCAAAGCATTGGACCATGGTATTATCTATCTCCATGACTGCCTTTGAGGCCTCTTTGACATCATTAAAGAATAAAAATAGTGGGAGGCAACAGAATTTTGGGGAAAATGTAGCCCAGTAGTTGAGGGAAAGCTAAGCAAACTGGGGTAGTAGTCCGAAGAGGATGGCAGCCATTTTGTGAATAAGCAACATTCCCCATTGCAATAATGTTATAGGAGTGTGCAAAATGCATTTTAAATTGGCTCATTCTTGTGCTTGGATTGGAAGCTGAAGATGGTGTAAAATGTGATAGCCAAGCTACTAAATGAGGCACTTGACTGGGCACATAAGAATTAAACAAATAAGATTTGCATTGCTTTAGCCAGTGGGGCTAATTAATCTGAATTATAGTGCTTACCAATATTTGTACTAATCCTTATTAAATCTTATTTGAATGATCAAGATGTCTGTTATTTATGCAGGTAATAGTAATAATTTTTCAACAAATCAGAATGGATTGAAGATAATTGGTAAAAGTAAAAGCAAACCAGATCAAATGACTGTTTAAACCTCTGCTTTAATATATCAATAAAAAGCACCAACACGTTAAACTGTCTAAATCTGGTGGGATGTTCAAAAATAAATTTACCTGTGGCTCATTATTATTAAAGATAATTCCATAAGGTAGGTGCCACCTTAAAGTAGGAACAATGCATGCCCCTAATCTAGCTTCTTAATAAATCAAGAAGTAGGGAATTAAATCCATAACAGCTACTGTTCATTTCTCAGAATAATTATTTTTAGGCCTGAATGCTGTTGAAAATATCACAGTCTTACTCTCATCAACTAAAGCCTTTTAAATATTTTGTGTACCTGTTAATTTTCTTAGGCCTAATGCAGTCCACTTCAAATAAACAAAAGTTTAAACTTATACATACAAGTTCCTGGTCCTCAAGTTACAAGGCCATAGTATGGGAAATACATTTCAAAAAGCAATAGGGAGGGAGAGAATACACTTGTATGTATGTTTGTGTTTGTATGTGTGTGTGGGGAGAGAGAGAGTGCTTTTAATAAGCTGTGATTTAGGAGTGAATTCTGTTTTGGGGTTGTTGGTTTTCTTTTGCATCCTGCAGCATACTTCAGGATGCGCACAAACTCTATGATGAAATGATTAACTTTGCTTATTACTATAGGAAAACCAAGTATATTCATCACACTGAAAGTTTCATATATTATCGTCTTCCTTATATGTTAATAGTGAAAGATTAACATAAAGTACCCTAAAAGATGCAAATGCCTTACATTGCTAGATTCCTAAATATGCAGTAATCTTTATTTTTCTAAACTGTAAAATACCTTCATCAAATTAAAAACTTATGCAAATCTGAATATTTTCCCAAAGAAATTTTATTTTGTTGTCTTATCTCCAATACATTTATATCTTATGTCTTTTGCAAATAGAATAAGAGTTGGAAGGGACCTTGGAGGTCTTCTAGTCCAACCCCCTGCTCAGGCAGGAAACCCTATACCATTTCAAACAAATGGTTGTCCAATCTCTTCTTTAAAATTTCCAGTATTGGAGCATTCATAACTTCTGGAGGCAACTTGTTCCACTGATTAATTGTTCACACCGTTAGGAAATTTCTCCTTAGTTCTAGGTTGCTTCTCTCCTTGATTAGTTTCCATCCATTGCTTCTTGTCCTGCCTTCAGGTGCTTTGGAGAATAGCTTGACTTCCTCTTCTTTGTGACAACCTCTGAGATATTGGAACACTGCTATCATGTCACCCCTCGTCCTTCTCTTCCTTAAACTATAGACATACCCAATTCCAGCAATCGTTCTTTATATGTTTTAGCCTCCAGTCCCCTGATCATCTTTGTTGCTCTTCTCTGTACTCTTTCTAGAGTCTCAACATGGTTATTCAGAATTTATGACACATAAACTATTATCTTAAAAATGTGTTTTGCTTTGTTATTACATGTGAGTTGGTTGATTTAATATTTTTACACAGCTGGAGCCAGAGGAAAGTGTGTGTTTGTGTGTGTATGTGTGTTTATATGTTTATAGTAAAAGCTCATTTCCCACTTGTGCTTTTTCCCTTATAACCTTCCAGGCCTTAAAATGCTCTCTAGTTGTGTATTGCAGCTTAGAAAGCAAAGGAAAAATGAGGTTTTTTTAAATATCTGGCAAGGGTAGTTTTCATAAATGAAACCCACATATTCTTTGCCATTAGGAACTTAGAAAGTATGTGTGGGTGGAGATTTAGCTAAGAAAAAGAAAATGTAAGCATAGCATTTATAAATAAGTCTGAATCTAAATATTGCATTGAAAATCTGTGTGCTTCCTTTAAGCCTCCAGCTACTCACATATTTTAAGGACTCCAGGAGTGGCTTTTCCTGGGGATGTTGACAGTGCCATTAATAACATAAATGAGTAGAAGAATCTTCATCTCGCTTAATAGAGATTTTGAACACAAGGCATGAATTTTGACCTTCTGAATCATTGTGATGGATGCTTCCTCAAAGACATTTTTACAATATAAAAAAGAGAAGGCAGACAACACACATGGCAACTTTTGTCTTTTGTTTTTCATGTGAATCAGCCTAATTAACTAGTTATAATTGAGATAATTTGGTATTGGGGGGAGCACAGCCTTCCATCTTTGCTTTTTGTGCCATTGTGGAGCAAATGCATCTCCTTTTATTTGGGATTTTTTCATTTGAATGTAATTGTAGAGATAATAATAGCTTACATTATCACAAGAAGGAAGAGCTTCATGCTGTGAATGCTGGTAGCAGTGAATAAATGTAATCATAGGTTTTGGACACAACCATTTCTTTAGAGAAGTTTTCATTGATCTCCATTGAAGCTTGGTAGACTGCTGTTTGATGACTTCAGAATTAAAAGTTTGTTGGCTGTAACCTATATTATTATTAGATTCACTTTATTCTGAAGACTTGGCAATAGATTAAATCCCATAGAAGCTATCTTATATTTTGTATGGCTCATAACTGTAACAACTAATAAGATAATGTTAATTGTTTTTCAGCAACAGGAGCAAGATCCAACTAATTTATATATTTCCAATTTGCCACTTTCAATGGATGAACAAGAGCTTGAGAATATGCTAAAACCCTTTGGACAAGTTATCTCAACAAGAATACTTCGTGATTCCAATGGCACAAGTCGTGGAGTTGGCTTTGCAAGGTAGGTTGTCATTCATGTAAAGTTTTTTTTTTTAATTGTGTTTCTTCCGGAGTCTTTGGTGCTCTCTGAACTTGGCTGCTTGCTCACAGATGTCTCATTACCCAAATAGATAACATCATCAGTGCACTGTTGATGTTTCCTAGTTGGGTAATGAGATATCTGTGAGCAAGCAACCAGCCTGACCTACATGTATTCTCTTCTATTGGATTGAACATTCCAGTTACATTACATTTCTTCAGTAAAGGGGCAAAGAGATGCTGAGCTGGGAAAACCTGTCTGGCTTTGCTATAAAAATGAATTTGATTCGAAGACGATCACTTGAACAAATAGTACTGGTTCAACTAATTGATCAAATAATATTCAACCATCTGAAAAATAAGGGATGAGATAGTTATATGAAGTATATATATCTGTTGATCAAATCATGTAATATTTGTATCTAAATGAAATAAGTCTTGACTCCTAGGAAGCAAAGTTTTCCCTCATTTTTATTTGCTATTGCAAGGTTCAATTTAAGTGTCATTGCTGTTGCAATTGAGAAGCAGGCGATCACTTACATAAGAGCAGTTTAGATTGCTGTCAGACAAGTAGTTAATTGACAGGCAGTTCCATTTGCGTGCTTTTGTTAGTGAATATTATAGTCAGTTAAATGGCTTTTTATATAGAAAAAAGCTCAGAAATATTACAAATATTTGACTTTGAACAATCAGAAGAGAAGTAAATGTATTGATGCTTTTGTTGTTGGAGAAGAGTCTTAAGAATGCCATGGATAATCAAAAGAACAAGTAAATGGATCAAAGAACAAATCAATGTACATTCACATCTTGCCTTTTCTCAGCCATTCCTGGAAGGTTTCATTCAGCAACTTTTGAAGAATCATAAATATCTCACATTTACCATAGTTTGTAAGACTGCTTTTAAAATGTCTCATAGAACAAATCAATCCAGAGTTCTCACTCAAGGCACAAATGAGCAGGCTCAGCTGGTCATTTTTTTGATAGAATTTTTTTAATCCTGCCTTTGTTGTTTTGGACACATTGTGTGAAGATCCAACTCCCTTAAAAAGTTTGTAATGCTGGGAATGGGTACATGGTTAGGACATCTGAAAGGCCCAATTAGGAATATGTCTTAATATGATCATTTGAGGTTGATCATTTGTGCCTCAAGAAAGAACTCTGAATCGATTTGTCTTAATGATCCATTTCTTTGTTTTATAGAAACGTAGAAAACTGACAGGAAGAAAAGACCCAGTGGTCCATCAACTGTGCCCTTTGAGTGTTTATTGTTTTAAATTATTTTTAATTTATTTATTAAATTTTGATTATTAAATTTTATTTTTATTTATTTATGTTGGATATAGACGTGAGCTTATCCTAAGCATGTTTAAACTCAGTTACTGACAATTGACCTACTACCTCTGCTGGAAGTTGGTTCCAAGCTTCCACTAGTCTTTCTGTGAAGTAATAACTTTTCTAACATTACTTTTACATTTCTCAGTTCGAGGTTATGCCCCCGTGTCCTTGATTTTTGCTTAATATTGAAAATACTGGAATCTTATTCACACCCTTAATATATTTCCCTTCTGTCTCCAGGCTATACATATTCAGTTCCTCCAGTGTCTCCTGATGTGTTTTGTCCCTCAGACTTTGCACTATTTTTGTTGCCCATTTCTGGACTTATCAATATCTTTTTTTAAGTGAGGTTTCCAGAAGCGGCACAGTATTCTAAATGGGGTCTGACTAAAGCCCTATGTAGCAAGATTAGGATCTCCTTTTTCCTGCTGGTGATCCCTCTAATGATTTCTGGACTATTCACGATATTCTCAGGAATCTGCTCCAATACCAACATACAAAAGCGTGATAAAAAATTAGTCTTTTGCAACTTTAAGATTGGGACAGCCTGCCTCATGAGCCGTGGTGGCGCAGTGGTTAGAATGCAGTATTGCAGGCTAACCCTGCCCACAGCCAGGAGTTCGGTCCTGAGAGGGCTCGAGGTTGACTCAGCCTCTCATCCTTTCAAAGTTGGTAAGATGAGGCAGTATGCTGACTCAGTAAAACCGTTTAGAGAATGCTGTAAAGCAGGGCTTTTCAACCTTTTCACCCATTGTACCACTTTTAGGATATGGCCATATCCGAGTACCACCAGTCGCCTAGCAAGGTGTCAAAAACATGATGACCAAAAAAAAAAAANCGTCTGCTGGGTGGTTGCAGCAGGTTTTGGTCACTTCACATGACCCTGGGACACTGTGACCGTCATAAATATGAATCAGTTGCCAAGCATCTGAATGTAAATCACAAGACCCTGGAGAGGCTGCAACATTCCAGCTGATCGGCACTTCTTTTGGGCTCAGCAGAAGCGCCAGGATCAGCGCCGAGCTCCAGCTGGAGCTCGGTGCTGATCCCGGTGCTTCCGCTGAGCCCTGACAGCCCTGCAGCTCCAGCCATCTCTCGCTCAGGCTTGTCCGGTGCTGCCACGGGTTCAGCTCATTCCCCTCCCCCACTACACTTTTCTGGGATGGTCGCGTACCACCTGCCAGGTGCCAATGTACCACAGGTGGTACCCATACCACTGGTTGAAAAGCCCTGCTGTAAAGCATTATGAAGCGGTATATAAGTCCAAGTGCTATTAGTATTGCTATTCATACGCCCATAAATATGAAAGCTTTGCAGGCTTGTAATAGGAGGGGGCCAGCCCATTGGACATAGCCTGGTAGAATAAGGGAAATTAAACCTTCAGTGTACATATTAAACAAAACTCCTCCTAGAAATGGGCAAGAGAGAGAGTAAAGCTGAGGCATTCAGTTACATTCAGTTGTAAAAACCTAGGAGGCTGCCTGGAACTGAATCCTTCTAACTATATTAACTACGCCAGAAACTAGGGAAACTAGGTTAGGCGCTGTGAAAATGAGCCTTGGGCTTCTGCGTTCTCTCATTCACTTCCAATTTGTCAGAAAATTAAAGATAGCTCAAGGGAGGAAATGTCAGTATTTACAGGGAAAAGAAAGCACAGAAACGTTATGCCTGACCAGTCGTGCTAATCTTTGATTTTACCTTCTGTCTGAATCAAATCAACAATTTCATCAAATCATTGTAGCCATACAGTAAAAGAACTGAAACTGAAACGATGGTTTGTTTATAAAATTTATTGGCCACCCATCTCACCACAGGGGAACTCTGGGCAGAGTTGTATTAATGTGCATAAATACAATAATACACTTTATATATATATATATTTTATGTAGGATGGAATCAACAGAGAAATGTGAAGCAGTGATTGCTCATTTTAATGGGAAATTTATTAAAACCCCACCAGGAGTTTCTGGTAAGTGGTGTGCGTGTATTTGTTTATGTGTGCACATGTGCATGTTTGTTCATTCCTTGGGAAATGCAAAGTTAATGAGTTTTAGAACTAGGGTATAAAAAGTGGGAGGCAGAACAACAGTGTGGGTGTTGTATCATCTTTTTTTATATATATATAGCAAAATGCTCCTGTTCCCTTTGCAGCGTTAATCAGACATGGGGAGAAAGATAGAAGGGAGGGAGGAAAGGAAGGGAGGACGGAGCCTTCCGTTCCCACCCTCTTCTGATAGTCCCTCCCTTATTATCTTAATTAACATGAGAGGATTGCTAGCCTCAGGCCAATTCAAGCCAATCCCTTTTGAACATGTAAACAGTCCATTCTTCCCTCAGCAGACAGTCATGTGGACAGACGGGACTTGTGAATTGGGCTATTGTCAGTGTTGCTGGCCATTCTTCTGTAGCACTTTTCTTGTACATTGAGCACCCTTTTGTGGAAATTTTCACATGGTTGCAGAAACTCTGAAAAGGTTGCTATATGTGAACAGGGAGATTATGGATACTGTTGCCTCTGTCGTTCAACTCTTCAGTAGTGCAAGCATTATTTATTCCACTTACTGTAACCAAAAGAAGACCAGACAGAAAACTAATATCATGATAAGTTCTAGCACCAAGGCATACATTACAGTACTTCAAATCCTTGTAGCCGTAGTAAGTAATTCTGGAATGTGTGTGCAGGAAGAGGAAGGCTCAGATGAGTCTTCAGTTTTTAATTAGCTCACTTTTCACATAGATTTGTTTGCTTGCTAGCACTGAATTTGATTCTTCATATGAAACTTTGGTACCCAAATATATAATTAGATGAAGCTGATCGTGTGGTTTTTCTTTTATTGATTTGTATTGTTGCTGCTGTTCATACCACAGTATCTTGTATGTTACTATTGCAAAAGCAGGGGAAAAAATCATAACAGCTGCTGTTAATAAAAATTAATGTATTCATTGGTTGCTGTTAAAATCCCAGCCCATTTTGTGATGGACAGCTCTCAACTTATGATAGCTCATAATACTGCCAGAAGCAACCACCCTTTTATTATCAACATCTACCAGAGTAACATATTTCTCTATAGGATTAAAAAATAAAAACAATGAACCAGAAGTGGAGTGCAGGGTAAGAAGAGCACTTAGTACATCCACCAACCAATCGATCAATCAACAAGAAAGCCTTTCTTTTACTTTCCAGTGTTATTAAAATGATACGACATTGGGAAGAGCAGGCTGAACAGCAGAATTTAGATTAAGAAAAAAAAATGGAAGTAAATGTGATTTATCTCATAATTGTTGTATGTCCAAACCATGCCATCAGTATTGTAGAATTTCTTAACAAATGTATGTTCTTTTTCCATGTTTTTACTAGTGATTGTTTAATTTAATTTAATAATTTAATTTATATACCGCCCTTCTCCCGTAGGACTCAGGGCGGTGCACAGCATATTAAAACAGATACAAACAAAATACATCAAAAAACAAAAAACCCCCATAAAACCAAATTAAAAGCCAAATATTGGAAGCTGTGTGTCAATTAAAATTTTCTTAAAATCATCCCTACCTAAAATCCTCCC